ATTCTTATTCTTATCTTATTCTTATTCTTATTCTTATTCTTATTCTTATTCTTATTCTTATTCTTATTCTTATTCTTATTCTTATTCTTATTCTTATTCTTATTCTTATTCTTATTCTTATTCTTATTCTTATTCTTATTCTTATTCTTATTCTTATTCTTATTCTTATTCTTATTCTTATTCTTATTCTTATTCTTATTCTTATTCTTATTCTTATTCTTATTCTTATTCTTATTCTTATTCTTATTCTTATTCTTATTCTTATTCTTATTCTTATTCTTATTCTTATTCTTATTCTTATTCTTATTCTTATTCTTATTCTTATTCTTATTCTTATTCTTATTCTTATTCTTATTCTTATTATTATTATTATTATTAATATTATTATTATTAATATTATTATTTTTAAATTAAGATTTTCTCATTTTCTTATAATTTATAATTATTTTACTACAAATTTTCATTAACTTATTCATTATTATCTATAATTATCATTTTCTTATTTTTTTTAATTAATTCTTCATTATCCTATTAACTTTCTTATATTATCATTTAATTTTCTTAATTATTTATATTTAAGTTTAATTTTTTATAAAAAATAAGAATCTCATAGTTTAAACTTTTCAATAATTAATCAACTATTTCAAATTCGAATTTAATTTCTTTTTTTATTATTTTTTTAAATTAAATTTTCTTATACTTATTACAAAAATTCTTCTAAATTATACAGTTTTTATTCAATATTTTAATCTTATTTAAAATTTATTTCATTTAAAGAAATTTAATTTTTAATATTTAAAACTAAAATATCAATTTAAGAAAAATCTAAAGGAGGAATTTCATTTTTAATTTAATCAATTGCAGTTCTTTTTAAATAATTAATTTATTTCTTGGTTTAATTTAAGTTTTATACTAGTTATTAGATATTTATTTAATTATGTCCTTCTTATTATTTAATATTACATTAGTCCTATTATGTTTAACTAATATTAAAAATTTCTTTTTTTAAATAAATTTATATTCTTCTTCTTAACAAATGTTTTTTATATTTTATTATTATTAACTTATATTTTATTTTTATTATTATAATAATTATTATTAAAAAGTTTATTAATTTTATTATTATAAACATATATTCTATATTTCTTATTATTATTAGCTTTATGCTAGTCCTTATTAATAAATAATTTGTGTTTCTTTTTATTATTAATTAAATAATTCTTCTTTTAATTAAATACTTTATTATTATTAATACTTAAATGGATTTTAAAAATGAATTTATGAAAATTAAAAATTTTATTATTATTATTATTATTATTAATATTATTATTATTATTATTATTATTATTAATCATAATTTATTTAATTATTTTATTATCCTATTTAATTATTTTGTTATATATTTAAATTAGGGAATTCAATTTAAAAATTTCCTATAACTTATTAATTTTCTATTCCTTTATTTATTTTCAACAAATTAATATTTTCTTATACTTGTCCCAAAAAAAACTATAAATTTTACAATTCTACTTTTAATTGCTTAGAAGTTTCTAAAACTTGAGATTTAATATCTACAAAATCATTCTAATTTTTATCTTTATTTTCGGTTTTTATTATATTATCAATATTTTCTATATTACTATATTAATTATTTTAATTTCCTTATATTTATATAATTTCTTCAAGAATATTATTTTACTATTTTTCTTCGAATTAATTATATGGAATTTTATTTTCTTTTTATTCATATATTATTTATATTTCTTCTTAGTTCTTATTTTATATATCTTAATTTTTTTTATTTCTAAATAGTTTTTTTCTTCTTAAATATTATTTTCTTTTAGTTCTTCTTCAATTGTATCTTACACTTTTTCAATTTAATTATCTTATACTGTTTTTTATTATTCTAGAATATTTTCAAAGTCTTAATTGACATTCAAAAATTTAAAAATTTATTAATCGTATTTATAATCTCCTTCGGTATATTAATAATCGATTTCTTCGTTTTCATTAATTTTTTCTTATTAACCTTATTATAATAATTATTATAGTTCTTCTAAAAATTATTATTCTTCTAATTATTAATTTTATTATTATTATTATATTAATTATTTTTACTATTATTATTATTCATATTCTATATTCTATTATTTACTTATTTGTTTATTAAAAATATTTTCTATATTAATATTTTATTTTAATTTTTATTAAATATTTTATATATTTTTTTCATAATCTTAATTATTATAGTTCTCACTTTATATTTTTTTTATTATTTTGTTTGCATTTTTATTTTTTTATTTAAAATTATTATCAGTTATATTTTATAAATACGGAAATTCTTCTAAATTTTCTATATTTTCTTCTTATTATTATTATTATTCTTCTTTTTATTAATTTTTTTATTCACACGGACTTTCTAATTCATTCCATTCAAACTACTGAAGACTATTAAAAGTTCTATAAATAACTGAGTGATTTTTCCTTTTTTAAATAATTTAATACTAGTGATCTTTTTCTAATTCATTCTAGGACATTTCAGAATAGATAGATGATTTTTTTTTATATTAATATTTATTATTTTAAAATAATTTTCCAGTACTATTTAATATACTAGTTCCATTTTAAAAGTTTGACTTTTTGTAATTTGGACTATTATATTAGCTTAATTAATTATTTATTTAATTAGAACATTTTTTTAATTATTTGCTATTATTCTAGAATAGTTTATTGTATTTTTAATTATTAGCCTAAGAACATATAGTATTATCTATATTTTTTTTTTATATTAATAATTTAGTTCTTACTCAGAACTTTTTTATATTAGCTTTACAGGAGATATAATTTATTATTCATTTATTTATAAAAATTCTTATGAACTTTTTTCGTATTTTTTTGAGGCTTTATTTGGTGTTTTAAATAATGTATTTTTTCGGAAAACATTTTTTTTATTTAATTTAATAATATTATATTATTTTTATTTTATATATATATATATAAGTATTTTTAGTTTTTCATTTTATTAATATACATATATTTTTATTTAAATTTTATTTAAAATATTTTTTTTTTATATATTAATAAATTATATATATAGAAAAATATTTTTTCCTTTCTTTTTTTTTTATAAAAATAAAATAAAATAAGCGAAATATCATTAATCTTAACTTTCACTATAATTATTAGATTTAAATTTCTTTTTTTATTAATATCCATCTTCTTCTTCATCATCTTCTTCTTATTAATCATCTTCATCAATTAATGAACCGTTTTCATCATCTTCGTCATCTTAATTATCATCATCATCATCTTCTCTTTCTATATTTTAATCATCTCCTTCTATATCTTCATCTTCTTCATCTATATTATCATCTTCTTCATCTATGTTTTCATCTTCTTCATCTATATTTTCATCTTCTTCATCTTAATTTTATTCATTTTCATCTTAGTTTTCATCTTCTTCTTCTTAATTTTCAACTTCTCCTTAGTTTTCTTCTTGATTATCTTCTTATACGTCTTCTGTTAATTTTTCTTATTTAACATGATTTTTTTTTACATTCAAATTTATATCTACATTTTTTTACATTTTTTACAATTAATCTTAATCCAAAGAAGGTAAAATAAAAATGTTCATTTCCAACAGTAATTAACGATTTACTTTTTAGTTAGATGGCCTAATCTTAATTCGAATATATGTTATTATCTACTTTAATATTAAATTTTTTAGATAGGCATTTAATTTCAAATCTAAATTATATTAATTGTATAAATTAAATAATTATATAAAATATATTAATTTTATAAATATAAAAATTATATGAATTATAAAAATAGTATATATTTTAATAAATATATTTATATATTTATATTATTTAATATATATATATATTATTTTTTTTTATTTTTTTTTATTTTTTTACGTTTAATTTTCAAAATTATATAAAATAACAGCATGTTATCGGGATATTCTTTTCGAATCTCCTACTTCTAAATCTACTTACCAATAAGCATTATTTTTTTCTATAAATATATATATATATTTATATATTTATTTATATTTATATGTTTTAACTTCCTTCTGTATTATTAACAATAGATCTTCCTATTATTATTTATAGTTTTTACATATAATATTACCATGTTCTTCCTTTTATTAAAGCAAAAGATACTTTCGGAAAATAAGAAATATGCGATTTTGGGACTTCTTAGATATTTATGAATTAATCATTTTATTTTAAATTACTAATATCGTTTATTTCTTAATTATTTTAATCAAAAATTTATATTTATAAAGCTTTTTAAAGAGCCTAAATTTGATTAAGAGATTGTTTTTTTATTTTTTTCTCATCTATTTCCTTTGTTAAATAAGAAAAATATATTTCATTTTTCTTCTCGACGTCTAAAAGTGCACTCCTCATATTTTCGTTTGAAAAATTCTTGAAATTATCAACTTATATTTTCTTTACATTTACAAGTTCAGGTCCTGTATATGTTATGGTTTCTGTAGATTCATTTCTTAGTATTTATATTTAATAAATGTAAAAATAAATAAAATATTTATATATACCTTTCGCCTAAGCATAAAGTAGTTAAAATATTATTTAAATCATTTAAAAGAGATTTTTACATAATTTCTCTATAATTTTCAACTATCAATTCTACTTATTATCTTTATAAAGATTTACCTTTATATAAATAAAAAAAAATTATGTAAAAATATAATTGATTATATAAATATAAATTAAATATTAGTCTTTAAATATATATTTATATATATAAATATATATATAATTATATATTTATATATTTATATATATATAATTATATCTTTTTTTACTCTATTATATTGCCAAACTGCAAAATATTTCCTAAAAAAATAAACCTAAATAAATACTTTATTTTAAATATTATTTTTTATCTTTAATGACTATTTCATCGCAAAATAAATAAATTTCTTTATAATTTCCTTATTTCTAAGTTTTCCTTTTGACGTAATCCAATATACGGTTTCTCATACCCTTTAATCCTGTAAATATAAATGCTTATTTAGAAATTCGTGTTAATATTCCAATTCCATCTAATATAAATAATAGATCAATGAGTTTTTTGGAATCAGAAAGAAATGGATATACATCCTCATATATCTTTTTTTGATTTATTTTATTTTATATTATAATTTTTTTTATTACTTTATTAAATTTTAAAATTTTCTTTCTATTTTCATAAAAATATTTTACTAATCTTCTTGTTGTTGTACCTATTTTTTCCTTTTATTATTATATTATTCTATTAATGTATTTTTTGTAATACTCTGGTACTCATAGATTTAAAATCAGACATTTTTTTATGTATTTTTTTTATTTTCCTCCTTAAAAAATTTTGAGTTATTTATTATTTTTTTATAAAAGTATTTATTTTATTTTTTCTTTTTTTCAAAAAAAAATATATTATTTTTTATATCTTTTATTTTTTAATATAATATAATAAAGTAATAATAATTTATAAAAAAAAAAATGATAAAACCTTGGTTAAAAAATAAACTAAAAGACGATGATATAAATAATATAAAGCGAATATCCGAATAAATACTAAACATATTTAAAAGCATAAAAGCCTAAAATCAAATCTAATTATAATTTATAATATAAAAATAGAATAAATCAATTAAAAAATAGAAACAAAAGAATATAAATAAGAATTATAAAAATAAACATTAATATATTATATAAACTTATATATTATTTTATCCTAAATTCCATAAGATAAATTAAGCGAAATTTTAAAATTAAAAATTAATTTAAAAAATGATAAATTTTATTGTTCTTATATAGAAAAAATTTAATAATATTTAATTTTTAATAATCAAATAAAAATGTTCGAAAATGAAAAAGTTAAAATAAAACTTGAAAAAAACTAAATTTTAATAGAAATAGAAAAAGAGAATTTTTAAATAAAAATAAAAGAAGAATTTTACGAAGACTTAAAAAATTTAAAAATAATAAAAAACCTTTAAAAAAAAACATATTTCCTTTACAAAATTTACACGATATTTATTTAATCGAAAATAAATAATATTAATAAATGTTAATTTTCCCTTTCGAAAAAACTAAAATAAACGAAATTTTATAAAATATTATATTATAAATATATTTAAATGAAAAATATCCTAAATAAATATCCTAAATAGAAAAATAGTTCTATATTTGTTAATAAAAATATCTTTTAATTTTTAAATAATCATATGATTATACACTAAAGGAGTTAATATTTAATTCTAAAAACTAAAATATTTTAAAAAAGGAGCTTTTTATAAATTTAACTGAATTAGTTATAAATTTACATTAAAATCATTAATTATACCTAAATAATATTTCTATAGATAATATTGGTTTTTTTAAAAATGAAAATACATTTTAGATTATTTCTTGTGATTTTTTAACTGACAAAAATAATGTATTTATTTCAAGAGAAGATTGCTTAAAAAAATAATTTTTCTAGAATTTTTAAAATAATAATGTGACAGAATTTAATAATCTTAATAACAATTTTTTTTAATTAGCTTAAGTGCTTTTTTAAATAAATTAATGGACTATTGATTAATTAAATGAAGAGTTTCCATTTGATTAAAATGATATATATTAAAAATTAATTAACTCTTTACTCTAAAATAATATAGACGAAGTTAATATTTGTTTAGAAGATTTGAAAGATTAAGAAAATTAAAAAATAATAGAAAATATTTAATCAATAGAAAATAATAAATATGTTAATAATATTGAAGAGGTTATTGAATTTTCATAAATTTATGTTTTAATTAATTAAATAGAAACTTCTTTAAATATTCTTTTAGAGTTTTATGATAAATATAAGGATTAATTAGAAAAAATCAATAAATTGAATTTAATTAAATAAATATCTTTTTCTTGTATATAATAGGAAAGAATTATAGAATTTAAAAATTATTTAAATGAAATATATCAAATAAACGAAAATTAATTAAATTAATTTATAAAAGAATGTAACATTATATTTTTTATATATGTTCAAACAAATAAAAAAAAAAGATATTTAGGAAATAAATGAATTTGTAAGTATTTATAAAAATAATAAATAAAAAAAAATATAAATTGATGTATAAACAATAATTTTAGAATTTCTTTAAAAAAACATATAAAATTAAAACGATTAATTAAGTAATATTATAAAAATATTTATAAATTAATAGATATATTTATCAAATATAATTATTATAATATTTATTTATTAAAAATAAAGAAATTATAAATATTAATAAAAAAATAAATTTATTTATATATTACTAAAGATTTTAAAATAAAAATATTTTTAATTAGTTTCATAATAATTATAATTACTTGGTCAAACATTTAAATCTATTTAAAATATAAATAAAGCTACAGAATATTTTTAAAAAGCATATGAAATTGATAAATATTTATATGATAAAGATGATATTAATAGTATATATTTATATACATATAGCATTTTTCTATAAAAACATTTATTTTTTTTACATTTGTAAACCTTTTTTTCTATTAGTATCACATTCGATGCATAATTTAGGTACAGTTTTAATTTTAAAATATGATTTTGATAATTCAATATCTTTTTTGCAAAAAAGTTTAAAAATTAAAATTGATAAATAATTAGAAAAAGAATGTATTTAAAAAAAAATATATATATATATATATTTTAAATAGCTATAGAAACTATAAATAATTTAGCAGAAGCTTATAGAGGAAAAGGAGATAATTAAAAAGCACTTTAATTATTTTATGAATCAGAAAAAAAATTGAATTTATATTATAAAGATAATTTAGAATTATGTATTTATATAAAATAATATATTATTAATTTTTTATTTTTTTTATTTAAATATTAATATATATTTTATATATTTTTTATATTTATATTATATAATTTTTTATTTTTTGTTTGTTTTTTTTTATTTTATAATTATTATATTATTAACTTTATTTTAGTCTCTCCTATATATAATAATATTGGTATAATACTGTACTAACAAGGAGATTTTTAAAATGGTATTGATTATTTATAAAAAGCTCTTAAAATTGAATAATAATTACTAGGATAAGACCATATTAATAATGGATAGACTATGTTTAATTTAATGATTATGATGTAAAAAATAAATAAATTAAAAGAAGCAGTAGATTATGGAATATAAGCTTATAGAATATTATTAAATAATTATCCAGAGGGAGATCCATAAACTGTATAATGTTAATAAGTATTAACTTTTTTATAAAAAAACTAGATAGTTAATGAAAAATAATTATTAATATTTTTATTTAATTTAATATAAATATTAATAATTATTAAATTTAAATCATTTATAATTTTTTATTTTATTACATATTTTTAAGAAACGATATATTACTAAAATATAAAGAATTAAATTATAATTTTAATTATATCAAATATATAATAGGTTATAACTATTAAATTTATATCTGAAATTTTATAAAATCTATAATTATATATCAGTTTAAATGATTAAAACTTTATATTTTTCTTAATAAATTTATATTCAAAAGTAAATATTTTAATAAAAATAAAACATATATTTAAATTATATTTTGTTAATAAATATTTTTATATTAACTATTAAAAAAAGTTATTTAACATTACTTTATATAAAAATTAGAACTTATATATATTATATTTTAGATTCGAAAAATCCAAATATTAGTTTTATAATAAATATAACATTTTCTTAATTTAAAATCTTTATAAATAACAATATTAAAATAGAGAATGACTTTTTCTTTTTCTATTTAGTTTAAAATAAAGAATGTATAATAACAATACAAAATAAAAACTAATTAGCAATATTCAGAATGTATTATATTAAAAAATAATTATTTATATATAATTATTATGAAATTCATTCGAAAAAATAATGGAACTATTTTGATTTTCTAAGTTCAAAAAAAATTTAAATAAAAAACACTATTATTATAGTTAAAATGTAATATTTTTTAAATATAAGACAGAACAAAGTAATAAAAAATATATAATCAAATAATTACTAATACAATAAAAATAATATAATTGTTTTTAAAAATTTAAAAATTATGTATTATAAATAAAAGTATTTTAGATAATTTTATAATTTAATATTAATATAAAATTAAATATATATATAAATAAATATTTTTAAAGATATTAAAAAATAAAAATATTATAATATATATTTATCAAACATTAATAAATAAATTTATGAAATATTTTATATATTAATGAATATATATACAAATAATTTTAAAAATAAAAATTATACAATATAAACAAAAATAAAATAAAATTTCTATATTTATGCTGATTTTTTTATTTTTATATATTTAATATAGATTATACACTTAATATATATATTTTAGTTATATATATTTGATTCTTTACACTTGTTTAAATTTAAATATCCATTTTGTTTAATTTTATAAGAATAAATTTTATATATAATTATATATATTTTAATTTTATTTTTATTTAACTTTAAATATAAATAATTTTAAATATAATAAATTTTTAAATAATAAATTCAAATTCTTTTATATATTAAATATCTTTATTTATTTTAAATAAAATTTATTATATTTATATTTTATTTTAAATATAAAGATATATACATATATAATTATTTACATTATTAATAATATAAATAATGTAATTAATTTATAAATAAAAAATAATATAATTAACTAAATAAATAAAATGAAAATATTAATATAAATTTAAAGAACTATATAAATATAAAAAAACATTAATATAATATAAATTATTAGTTATTTAAATTATAGAGTATAATGTATATAATTTTAATATTTAATGAAAATAAAACTAATATAATAATAATTTTTACTAAAAATAAAAAATTAATTGCTTGTATTTATTATAGATAAATATATAATAATATAATAATTAAATAGATATAATTATATAATTATATTTTTTTTTAAATTTATATTTATATATTTATTTATTTATATATAATTTGTAATCTATTAATTGTATAATTAAAAAACCTTAAAAATATTTATAATTTATATTTATTTTATTATTATAAATATTAATTATAGTTAATACTTTTATATATACGCATATATTTATTATATATATTATTATATCCATATTTTTTAAAAACTTCAAATTTTAACTTCTTAAATCATATCTAGAGTATTTACACTATATAAAGTATATACTTTTTTTTTTTAAGGTTTTTCTATAAAAAAGTGTCTTTATCTTATATTATAAAGATATATTTACCAAAATTTAATATACAATTATAATACTCATTTCTATTTATCATTTTAATAAGGTAATCCATATATATTTTTAAACCTCCTAAAAGCTTACTTTTGGCCTGAAATAGTATTAAAAGATATCTATTGTCATTTTTTTTATTCATATTACCTAATATATTCTTTAAGTATCCCGAGAGATAAAGTAGACATTATATTTTCTCATGAGTGGGGGATATTGTCTAAATCTAATTTACATTCACTATATTGGGTAATTTTGATACTAAAAATTTAAATATTGTCCTATATAAGTTTCTTTATATATAATATTAAACTTTTTTTATCTAAATGAATAAATTTAACATTTTAATTATATCTTTTCTATTAAATATATAATATTATATACTTATAATTAATTATCTTCAATATATTATTAGTTAAATTCGATAATGTTCTCTTTATTTTATTAATTTTTATCATTATATTATTCATTATAGAATTTTTTTGTTTAAATAATATTTGATTATATATTTATTAAAAACAATATATAATTGATATATATTTAATAAAACAAAAAACCAAACATAAACTTTTTTTACATAAATATGTATATATAAGTATTTCTAACAAAAAATAAAAAAAATGTAAAAATAAAATATTTACATTTTATTAAAAAAAAAATACATAGATATTAAATTAAAATATTTTATTTTTTTTTAAAAAAAAAAAAACCAAACAAAAACAAAGCAAAAAAAACAAAAAAAAACAAAGCAAAAAAACAAAATAAAACAAAACAAAACATAAGAACAAAAAAAAAAATTAATAAAATGAAGTGTTTATCCTAATAATCCTTAAAAGCCAATTAAATTTTCGTTTTTATATTCACATTTTTATGTTATTCTGCCGTGCATTCCACCCGTACAGCCTGGTCAGTTTCAAAGGGAAATTTTTAACATAAAATTCAATGTTCTAAGTCTTTTTTAGGCTGGATGGACTTTTGTTTTTTATTTTCCTATGCCATGTCTTTAAAAATAGGAGGAAGTTTAGGCGATAGAATAAATTTAATATATTACTTATCTATAGGAATGATATTATCCTCTATATTTTTATCACTAGATTCATTAATTGGCATCTCTAATTTTCCAAACGAAGCCTTATTCCTTATATTTATGTCCCTAAACGGTATATTTTAAAGTACAGCTTGGCCCGGTTTATTATCTACGATGGGAAACTGGTTTGGTAAAGGAAACAGAGGTTTAATGATGGGTATATGGTCAGCAAATTCGAACGTAAGAAATACACATATATTTAAAAAATAATATATTTTATATATTAATGTATATATATATTTATATTTCTACCTATATATATATATTTACATTTAAATAGATTGGAAATATTATCGGATAACTAATAGGTTAATTAACTATAGATATATATAAATGGGGTTGGGAGTATTGTCTTTTAATTTCTTCTTTATTTTTATTATTAATGGGCATTTTAGTATTATTATTTTTACAGCCATATCCCGAAAAATCCAACATATATGAAAAAGTAGTACAAAATACAGATTAAAGTAACAATTCAGAAGTATTAAACCAAAACATCAAAAAATAAACTATTTTACGGCTTGGTTAGTACCCGGTGTTCCTTTATATGCAATAAGCTATGCCTGTTTAAAAAGCGCTTCTTACGGCTTATTATTTTGGCTTCCTAACTATCTACAAAACTAAGGTATGGACTAATATTCATACACAATATCATCTATGAATGATATCGGCTCGTTTCTAGGTGGTGTTTTTACTGGTTATATAAGTGATAGACTAGGTAAAAGAGCACTATGTATGTTCCCTTAATTAATTTTATCTGGAATATTAATGGCTATAGTCAGATACTTTTTAATGGGTGAATCTCCAGTATATTATTATTTAATTGTCTTTTTCATAGGAGTGTTTCTTGGAGGACCTTATAATATTATAAGCGCGGCAATTTCAATAGAATTGGCTAAATAACCGGCTTTAAAATAATAAAAAAGTGCTATTTCAACTATTTCTTCTCTAATAGAAGGTATGGGATCTTTATCTGCGGCTGTACTTAATATTATTATTCCCTTATTTGAAGATGAGTAGACTTTTATGATTTTCATGGTTTTAGCTTTTGTATCTGTCATATTTTAAATACCTATGGTTTTTAATGAAATTAAAGATATTTTTTAAAAAAATAATATAAATTATTCTTTTTAAAATACTGAAGATGTTTAAAAATAAATTGAAAACTGAAAAAAAAAAAAAAAAAACTTATATGATTATATATTTTAAAATAAAATAATATAAATATATATTAATAAAATTATTTTTAAATATAATTTTTTTTTTTTTTTAAATAAAAAAGAAAGAAAGAAAAATATATTCTTTCATTAAACATATATATATATGAATCCAATAGACACACATAAACTAACAATCATATTAGAAGACTCGTCCGAAAATTTAGCTTTTCTTCATTCAATATTACCATAAGACGATTTATCATCTGAACTTGCTGGTTACGAGATATCTAAATTACTAAAAAAATAAAAAAACCTAGAAAACTCATATGCGGAATTAGTAAATCTTCGTACATCATTAACTGGTATATAAAACAAGCAAAAACTAAACGAGACTTAAGGTATAAATACTATTAAATAAATATATATATATATTTTTGTTAGTAAAAATAGTGGATGTAGCTTAGAAATTAAAGGAAAGTACTAAAAAATTATGCCGTTTGTTTAAAGAAAACCCCAATTTAGAAAACGATGCCTTAAAAGTATAAAGAGATCGCTAAAAATTTATGGAAGTAATAGAAAACCTTATATTAATGGTTTAAAATAATACTATGAATAAATTCTAAAACCTAACCACTTAGGAACTGGAAGATTAAGATAAATTAAGGAAATTAATTTTTAGAGAAAAGGAATTATATTAAGAAATAAAAAAATTATGTAAAGAAATATAAGAGGAAAACAAAGAATATGATAATGAATAAAAAGAGACTAATTTAAAAATTTAGCATTTAAAAGAAAGACTATTATACAAAAGAAATAGAGCATTTATTAAAAATTAATATAGAGAAAAAGAAACTAAGGCTTAAGAAGGTACATTAGATAGAATGTATGAATGGGATTAAAAATTATTAAAGGATTAAATTAAAAATATGCATAATAAAATAGAAACGGAGAATTTAGTATATGCGGAATTGAGAGAATTTTTAATTTCTAAAGAAGAAAAAATTAGATAACAAAATGAAGAATGGGATAGGCTTTTAAATACTAAAAAATAATAACTAGAAGACTAAATAGAAGAATTAAGGAAATAGAAAGGTATGAATATAATAAATATATTAAAAAATATATTAAATATATTTATATGTAAATCCTTATATAAAAATATTTATATTATTATATATATAATTTATTTTATTTTAATAAGATGTTTTTTATTATTATATATAGATAGAGATGTTGAAGAATTAGAAAAATTAAGATAAAGAGATTAAGAAGAAAGAGAATAAAAAGATGAAAGAGATAGATAAGAAATATTAGAAGCTTAATAGAAATAATAAGACGAACTTAATTAAATTAGATTAGATAATGCAATAAAATTAATATAAATAGAATATTAAGAATGGAAATTAGGAGGTGGTGGAAAAAAAAAAAGAAAAGGAGGGAAAAAGAAAAAAAAATGAAAATATTAATATATAAATATTTACATTAAACAAAAATTTAATTATATAAGTATATATATTTATATGTATATATATACATATGTAAAAATATATATATATATTTATATTTTATAAGATATATATATATTTTTTTTTAAATATATATGTATTTATTTAATATATAATAATAGATTATATGAAATTTATTATTTTATTTTAATATTCAATTATTTAATTGAAAAAATTACTTTAAATAATATATTTTAAAATTGTATTCAAAATAGAATAAATAAAAAAATTAAAATATTAATAAATTAAAAAAAAATGATTTTGTATTAATAATAAATTAGATATATAAAAATAAATAATATATATATAAAAATAAATTAAAATATACATTATTTTATAATTAATCATATATTTTTATAAAATAATTTTTATATTTAAATATATATTGAAATTATTTATATTATTAATGATATTTAAAGTAAAATATATATTTTCAATATTTAAAATATAAAAAAAAACATTTATATAATTAAAAAAAATATAAAATATAAAATTAAAAATTAAATTTAAATATATATAAATATATATATATATAATATATATATTATATATATATATATATTATTAACCTTATATAATTTTAAAACAAATAATTATTAAAAACTTATCTTTTTAATATAATAATGCTAATACAAAAAATATTAAATAAAACAAAAATTTAATAATTTTTATATTTATTTTTATATATTATTTCAATATTTATATATATTTTTAATTAAATTTATATAATATTCTTAAATATAATTTTATATATTTCATTTTTTTTATTATAGAAATACAATAAATAGATTATAAATTTTTGTAATAAATATAATAAATATTTTTTAATAAATTAAGAATAAGCTATAATATTTTTTATTAAATTTAATATATAATATAAAATTGATTTAAATTTTTTTCTTAATTGCTTTAAAAAAATAAAATAAATAAATCACAATATAATTATATTAGATTCTTAAATAATTCATTTATATAGCTATATAAGTGAAAATTATATATATATAAATTTCTTTAAACATAATCATATAGCTAAAAGAACAACATTATATAGAATTCCATAATTAAATTAATTATATTTAAAATGAAAATAATATACTTTTATTAATAAATTACTTAAGAAAATTCTTATAATAAATAAATAATTAATGAACTTTTTAAAATAACAAAAAACTAAAAAAAAAAAAAAACTAAATTATTTTTTTAAAAAATATAAAAAAAATTAAGATATAAAATTAATTTCTTTACAAAAAAAAAAATCAAAAAAAGAAGAAAAGAAAGTCAAATAAAAATGGTAAAAAACTAAAAACAAGACTTTAAACATAAAATAAAAAAAGCCTCCCAAAGCCAAAAAAGAAGCAGCCCCAAAAGAAGTAATTTCATATGGTCCCCCAAACATATCCGAAAACGAATTAGTATTCGGAGTATGTCATATATTAGCAACATGGAATGATACATTTATTCACGTAACCGATCTTTCTGGAAGAGAGACTTTAGTCCGTGTAACTGGTGGTATGAAAGTAAAAGCTGATAGGGAAGAATCATCTCCATATGCCGGTATATATATTATTAATTTAAATTTTTTTTTTTTTTTTTTTTAATTATTTTAAATTTTTTTTTTTTTTTTTTTAAAAAAAAAAAAAATGAATTACTTTACTTTTTTATAATAATAATAATAATAATAAAATATATATATAAAAAAACAATAAATAAAACAATTATATATATAACAAAAAATACTAAAAAAAATAGCTATGTAAGCTGCTTTAGATGTAGTAAATAGATGCAAAGAATTAAAAATAAACGCTCTTCATATTAAATTAAGAGCCAGAGGTGGAGTAGATACTAAACAACCAGGACCTGGAGCTTAGTCAGCCTTAAGAGCATTAGCTCGTTTTGGTATGAGAATCGGAAGAATAGAAGACGTAACACCTATACCTACAGATTCTACAAGAAGAGAAGGTGGTAAAAGAGGTAGAAGATTATGAATAAAAAAAAATAAAAGAAAGAAGAAGAAGAAGGAATATTTGTTATTTTATTTTTATATGTGTATTTAATTATTATATGTAATAATATTTAAATAAAATTATATTTTATATATTCATATATATATATATATATTATTATTTTATATATAAATCTATAATATGATTTAAAAAAACTCTCTTTAAAATCAAAAAACCTCATTATGTATGTTATGGAGATTGCATATTAATAAGAACTTATACATAGCCTTTTAAATACTTAAATGCCCGCAGTATATGTGAAGAACATACTTATATTATTTAACCTTAGGCTGAAATTATTGATTATTCTTAAATAAGTAAATGTGTTTTTCAAACATACCCTAATTTTTATTTCGAAGCTTAAAAAAATACCAAAAACTTCTATGAAATCCATAAAATCTTCCTCATAAAGACCTCCTTTTGAAATTAGAAGCCTTAAAAAAACGTCAAGAGACTGAAAAATACATAAATTTTAACCGAAAAATGGAATATTTTGGCAAATACATTACCATAGGTTCCGAAATAATGCTTTATCATACCTATAGTAACTCATTTTTAAAGGCTTCTAAAGAAAACAGCCATAATAATAGCTCTTCAAGCATTTTTTATACCAAATTGACCAGTAATCCATCTACTTCAACTCATTTTTTGATAAAAATAAATCCTTTATAGAATTATAAAAAAGACGGTGAAAAAATAGCTTATGAAGATGATTTTTTTTATTTCGAAAATGTAAAATTCCATTCTTTTTTTTAACCTTTTCCCATTTAGAAAAATACAGTTTAAAAATTTTCCTTTGAAAAACTTGGACATTAATCAAAAAGTCCTCCTTTTTTATCATTTTAAGGCATTTTTTTTAAATAGAATTAATAAGAAAACACTCCAAATATACATTTTGGTGATTTTATAAGACTAAAAATTAATTTTTAGTTAAAAAACAGTCTTTTGTAGGAAATTTCTTCTCCGAAAAAGACTTTTAAGACGTTTTTATAAATATTTCTTCCAAAATTTCAAATTAATAAAGTCTTTTAGATGTTTTCTAAATTTTACCTATTAAAAATAATCAATTTGGAAAAAACTGTCTTTTTAGTTAAAATTCACAACTTTTTTTCATATTAAGACATTTATTAAGTGGAAAATATCTATTTTTTAATTAAAATGGAGCCTATTTAGCCGAAAAAGACTCATTTTAAATCGTAAATAATACTAAATAAAATATAACTAGTATATAAAATGTAAACAATAATAATGTAAAATAACTTTTGTCATCTATTTAACTGGAAAATGAGGAAAATAAATTATATTAATAATAAGAAAATTTAACAAAAGAAAAAATAGATTTTTGTTAAGATAGAAAAAAAAGTGAGGTTTCTATTATGAATTCTCCCTCAAAAATTAATAATGTTATCTATTCTTCTTAAAATAAAATAAATTATAATAGAATTAATATACTTTCATAATCTATTAAATAAGAATATACACCGCAATCTAATTTTTTAGAAAAAAGTCCAGAATTTAATTAATTTTAATTATTGGCAATTTTAGGAGAAAAGTAAAATTTACAATTAAAAAAAAACACTTTTTTTACACTTAAAGATATATAGACTCAAAATTTTATAAAATTAAACTCAGAAAATTATTTCTAAACCAAAAATAAAAACACAGATATAAATAAAGAACTTTTTTATGACTATTTTTAAATAATTAAACCTTTATAAAGAAATCTATATTAGGTTTTTCCACAAAATAATGATGAAGGTGATTATTTTTCATTTGAAATTGTTAATATATAGATAATTTAGGAATTTAATACAATAAACTCATTAGTAAAAGCGATTTTAGAATTACTTAAATATTTCAAATATAAATAAAAGAATTTCAGTAAAATTATCTAAAAAGCAAGTAGATCCATTAATATATTAGGTCTATGGATGTGTAATAGCTATTAAGAAAATATTTAATAACAGGAAATTATATAAAACGATTGTATACCAAATAAAGAAAAATAACATATTATAAGAGAATGTTCTGTATTAGATTATATGATAGAAATTTTATAATAAATGTATTATTAGTAATATATTTATGAATCAAATATAAATGTAATAATTGATAATATATATATATATATATATTATAAATATATATTATTTTTATATATATATACATATATTAATTTATATATTATAAAGAATGAAATTAAATATCTAATTGATATTATAATTTGCTTTTTATAAAAATGTATACTTAATAATTACATAAATTCTATTTACGTTATTTCTTGGTACTAAATGTTTAAAAAAATAATTTTAGATTTAAATGTTTTTCAAGATTTTCAATTTACAGATTTAATTTCTTATTTATTTAAAATAACTGATTTACATATATTATATGAAATAGATGATATATCTGATATAGTTTCTTATATAAATTTAGACGATTTAAATGTAAATGCCTTAAATTTACTATATGTACATTGCTTATTTAATCCTAAAAGGACTAAGAATTAGGAAAATTATATAATAGATGTTTTACTTAAAGAAAATAAATAAAAAGTTTTCTTTCCATTAAAATTTGATAATTAAAACGTTAATTATTTTAATATTATATTTATATATATTGATAAAAATAAAAATAGATATTTTTTAATTATCATATTATAGATAATTTTTTCTAATAGAATAATTAATAATTGTACTTTTATATACAATAAACAATTAATTTAGCCGCAGAACTATGTAAATATGCGAACCCATAAATTATTGAATAAATAAAGGAAATTTACGACTTTAAATTATGCATGAATGCCATAAATAATTAAAAATTGTCGTTTTAATTTAAAGGGATATTTATTAATTTATTTAAAGACGCCTATTTAATAAACGACTTTAAATATTGTATCCGTAAATAGATTCCATCTTAAATATAATTTAAAAACACTGACTATTTTTAAGATAATGAATTTTACAATATGTTCTAGACTAAATTTAATCTAAATAAACGAAAATATTTTCAGACATCTATCCAAATAAATAATGATTAATAAAATTAATAATAATAATAAATATAATCATATTAATAAAATATATTTAGAAACGAATAAAAAATGTCATTATATAACTCTTAGAGTAAAAATACACTAACCAAAATATATAAAAGACATTAAGAATAATCAGATAAAAAAAATTCTAATTTTCCATATTAAAATTAATAATAAATTAATCTAAAAAAAATAATAGAAAATTTCTTTGAATAAATAAACATATAAGAAAGAGAATGTTCTAATAATAATAAAGTAAATTACATATATATATATAAAGAATATATATATATATATATATATATATATATATATATATATATATATATATATATATACAAATTTATAAATTACTTTATTTATATATCTATATATATATTATATTCTTTAACAAACCACTTTAGGCCTATGATTTTTTTTTACTATATAATGAATTTTCTACCTCTATATTTTTTATGTGTAATTATTTATTAAAACACTAATTATATTACAACGACGAGATCTTTTTCTTATAAAAGAACTTTTTTAATATTTTCAAAATTATATTTTCTTACTTTAATACTTAAAATTTATAAAATTATTTATTATTGGATTCATAATAGAACCTTTAATTACATATAAATGGCCTTAAAATACCCCATTAAGTTGAAAACTGGATTCTAATAATAATAAATAGCCTAGATTTTTTCGAAGACTTAAAGCTTGAAGATTAACTCCAGACTTTATTCCAAAAAGTAAAATACAATAAATATTTCGGAAAACATTAAATTCCGTAAAAAGAAAACAAGAAAACATATTCGAATACTATATATAACAATATAAAAAAAAGACATAAAACAGATATATATTCTCATCCAAATGTTAATATGTGAAAACATATAGATAAAAGCCTCTTTATTTAATCTTTTATATAAATAATTCTCTACCTCCCATTCTTTCTTTAACACTATAAATAACCTTACAATAATAGACGATTTCAATTACCTTACTTTCCAGAAATTATTTTTAATCCAATGTTCAATATAATTTGGATTAATCGATATATAATAATAAATCGGCATAAAATACAATAATTAAACCCTAGAAATAATTTTTAATTGTTTAAATGAACTTATAGACTTTTTAATGACTGAATATCCCCCTGATGATCTCGTGGAGTTGAATTCTGACGAGAATAACGAAGAATAATATTAAGATAATAATAAAATCAGAACTAAAATATTTTTTTCAAAAAAGCCGAATATTAATAATGATAATAATTAAGTTTTTTACTCCTAATTATAATTCGTAGAAAAATAAAATTAAGATATACGTATTTTTGACAATTTAGATATTCTTTTAAAAAAATCGACTACAAATTCTACTTCTTTTAAGAAAAAAAATATCTAAAAAGTCGAATAAAAACACTCCAATACATATAATATACTCGATTAATATTTCATAGACACCCAAATACTCCTTTAGAATTAAAAAATACTATAAAATATGCATTTTGATGAATTAATATTGGAACTTTTATATATTTTTGTAAATAATAACTAGATTTTTACAGAAAATAGTCTAATTTTTGATGATATTATTAAAAATTGTTTATTATTATTGATTTATTATATACTATTTAATTAGAAAAACAAAGATAAAGTCTTAAAAACGTCTTTTTTTGCTATTTTAGTCTAAAAACTTCTCGAGGAAACCATTTTTTTTTCAAATTAAAATTTCGTTTTTATTTTTCTTGAATAATTATATAAAAATAACTATGAAATATTGCTTTCTTTGACTATTTCAGAAAAAAAATTCTTAAATTAATTATTTTAGATTTTTTTCAAAAAAAAAAATAATATTTAATTCTCAATTTATTTCTTGAAATTTTTTAAAAATCTCTTTGTCATTAACCAAAATTAAATCAACCAAAATTAAATTTTTATCTATAAAATTCTGCAAAAAGATAACTTTTTTGACACCTTCTCATTGTAAATTAACACTTTAATTGTCTTAAATCTCATATAGTACTCTAACTTATATTAAATACAAGATTTGGCTAAAGAAACGATTATAAATTACCCTTAAGAGACTATTTTATTGCATGTTTATTTGAATTTTTTTACTCAATTGGCTAAAAATACCCACTCTTATATAAATGGATAAATACGATGTTTATTTTCCCTTTAAGATATTTATAATCTGTTAAAATAAATGGAATGGGCCATTCCGTTAAGAGCTGAATTACTGAATTTTTTATGCGAAATCTATTTAAAATGCAAAAATTTCGAACAAATTGAAATGGAAATTTTAATGAAAATCTTCATTAAAATATTATATCAAAAAGACTTATTTTTTTATGAAAAAATGCGCTAAAAAACAGACAATAATATATATGAACAAGTAAAAATAAAATCTAATATATTGAATATTTTTGAAGGAAAAAGCCTATTTGGGACTGAAAGACATTTAATTTTTGGAACTTTTTTTAATCTATATGAAAATTATATACAAGAAAATATAATACCAAGTTTAAGAATTTTTATTAAAAAAATTTTACCTTTGGTTAATTCTTAATAATAATAGATAAACTATTGTTAAAATATAAATAATATTTTTTAAAATATAAAAAGTCATTAAGAAAATAATATAAACGATAACTTTTTAATGAATACGTTTTAATTATAATAAAACACAGTACAGCCTTTTTTATCTTCTGATAATACCGTTTTGTTCTGTTAATAAAAGAAAATCACTTACATGTAATCCCAATAAAAGCTCTAAAATTCTAAAAACTTAAAAAGCAAACTCTTCTCCTATTAAAATCTTTCCAATAAAAATAATAACGATAAATAATAAAAACCTAATAATCCTCCTATATAACACCCAAACATATTCCTAGAAGATTTTATATCCCAAGAACACGAAAAAGAGCTTGACTAATTAATAACATTACTAATAAATATAAAACTCTAAGACTAGGAATAATTCCGAAGCATAATCTAGTCTTTAATAACGATTCTTTCCTCTGAAAACATAGACATAAAAACCCGTTTAAACTCGTTAAAAATCCTCCGGAAAATCTCGAATTATTAACAAGACTTAGAAATAAACAGTGGTATACAAAAAGACTTAATATGTATGGGATTCCTAACTTTCCTTTGTAATATAATAATAGTCGAACAGAATTAAATAATGAAATAAGAATATATAAAGTCCTTAATAGACTTTATGTAAGAAGGAAACAAAGACATTTAAAAATCCCTTTATTAATAACTACTTTTAGATAAGGAAAATCGATTTCTTCTTGAATTAAAGAATTTCCTTGAAAATAATTTTTTTTAATTTTTCGATTATTAAAAAACTCAATTAAATCGAAAAAAAAGAACTTATATTAATAATAATATAGACTAAGAATACTAAAAAGTCATTCTTTTAAAATTTCATGCCTGTTTAAATGTTTTTGAGTTATTAAGGCTTTCCTGTGAAAACCATTTTTCGGATATGTAAAATTTCCTAAGAGAACAAATAAATTCAAATAATTAAAAAAAAAAAACTTCAATAAATATGCTTAAAACACTATCTTATATTTTTACTAAATACATTTAAATAGTACACCCTAATAATCTTATTTTAGGCATTAAAATACTAGATTTATTTATCGAGTTTATTTAAGGGCCTTGTTTTGACAATCAAATAGAATTATGTTATACTAATTTACTAGAAAATCTGGAAGATATATAGTACGAAATAAACAAATAATAATAATAATATGAATTTATAGACTACGATTTATAATAAAAAGCCGTGTTTAATTAAAAAATACTGGCCCTTTTTAGAAATCTATTTGACGGAAACAATAACCTTATAGTAATAAATAAAATTTCTCTATATATAGACATTTAGCTTTTATTAGAATTGATTTTTAATTCTTATTTTAATTATAAAAAACATATAAAATAAATAGGAAATATGCATGAAGGACTACTTAATTTTTTATAAAAAAATAATCAAAATGTATATAATATGTAAACATATGATTTCTAATTCGAATCTTTTTTAGTAAAAAAATAATCTTCTAATATAATTATAGTCGATAATTAGGATAAAGATAATTGTATATTATATTAAAAAGCTGATATGCTTATATAACAAGGTATAATATATATATATATATATATATATATATATATATAATTTATATTTTATATATACTTATTTATTTAGCATTTGAAGCTTATATATTAATTAAAAACATTTAATTTTACGACAAAAACTTTAAGAAAAAATACAATTTAATTCTACAATAAATACTCTAATGTTCCAAATCTCCAGATGAAATCAAAAACATGAAAAAATCTTTAAAATATCTCAAAAACAACACATCTTCTATCGAAATAATTAACCATTAAGACCATTTATAGAAGCTATATTTCCGAAGGCCCCCCTTAACCTCTTATTTAAGTAAAGTTTCCATGAATAAGTTTTTAACTCATCTAAACAGGTCTAATTAAACCGAAAAACTGAAATAATTTTTAAACTAAAGTCAGTATTTTCTTGATGAAATGCTCTAATTTCTCCGTTTAAACGGTCTGGGTCTATATTTTAACCTAAACTACCTTGCCTACATAAAGAATATAAATCTTTTTGTAGTTTTCCTTATAAACCTATGCATATTATTCAATAAAAAGAAAACAATTTTCTATGTTTTCCAAATAATTAACATTCTACTGAGTATTTCCATATTTATAATGTGGTTTATATTCCAAATGCCTTTATAATACAAGAAAATCCTCATAAAATGCAACCAATATAAAAAAGGCTAAAAAAAAATTCCAATTAAATTCCTCCAAAAAGCATTCACTAAATTTTCCCGAAAAATTTTCCTTTTAAAAAAAATACTTCTTTCCACAAGTTTCCTCTATCTTTTCACCTATATAACCTTGTCCCTATTTGGAATTATATTTTCCGACTTATATTATGGTTTTCTCCTATTAGATATAATATAAAGGTCTTCTACGCTATAAACAGTGACTAAATCTATCACTTTAAATGCCCTATAGTTAATAATGACATCTATATTAGGTGTATGTGTGATCTATGTGTACTCTATGATAGCCTATTTTACACCATTATAACATTCTCTTATATATAATGATAATGAAGAGTTCTAAGTATGCAAAAATGCAAAAGATTGCTTCCTTATATTTCTTGATTTGGGGCTAAGAAATGGAGGTGGTATTGGTGATGTATTTTTTTATCCTGGTAGGGGATAGAATTAATATATATAGAGGTTTTTATTTGATTTGTCATTTTTTATTATTATTATTGTGGTTTTACTTAAAGTTGTATTTGGAATTATTATTGATTCTTTTTCGGAATTAAGAGATAAAGAGAAATTTAATGGTAATAAATAATATATATATAATTTATTGCTTAATATAAAGAAAATATAAATTTAATATATAATTAAAATCATATTATTACTTTTATATTTATAATTCAAAAATTATAAATTAAAAAGAAATATAAATATATAAATGTATATATATATATTAAATTATATATTTTATTTATAGTAAATTTATAAATTTTCGTTATAATATTTTTAAATTTATATAATTTTTTATTTTAATTATTTATTAAATATTTAATTTTTATTTAATATTTTATATTATTAAAAAAATTAAATATAAAATATAATTATATATTATATAAATAATAATAAATTATTGATATTTATTTTTAAGTTTTTATATATTTATATTTAATAAGATTTAATTTTTTATTATTAAATATTATAATCATTATTAAAAAAAATATAAATAAATAGATTGGGATTAAAAAAATAGATGCTTTATATGCAATATTTAAAAAGATATATTTGAAAATTAAAGTATTAAATTTAATAATCATATTTAGAAATAACATAATATGTGGAATTATTTATATTATATAATTCATCTTAAATTTAAAAAAAATCTAGATTATGATGGAACTGAAACTTACGTATAAGAAAAAATAAATGTATAAGATATTAGCTGGATACCTGTAGGTAAATCAATAAAATAAAATAAAATTAATTAAAATAAAAAAAATGTAAAATGAAATAAAATATAAATTTAATTATATATTTCTAAAAATATATAAATTAATATATATAAAAAAATATAATTAAACTTATTTATACATATATATGCATATAATATATATATATATATATATATATATATATATATATATATATATATATATATATATATATAGTTTTTTATTCTATATTATTTTACATATTTCTATAAATATACTTTTTCTTAATATTATATCTATTCAAATAATTATTATTTTTTATATAATTATTCTTTAATTTAAAGTTTTTTAATTTATATTTTTAAACTATTTAAATATTTTTTTAACTATTTTATTTACAAAATTTATTTTTATTATTTTTATCATAAATATGTTATCAAAACAAAATTTTAAATCTTTATTTATAATTATGATAAATTATTTTAATTTATTTATTTTAAATTTATCTTAATTTTTATTATAATTTTACTTACTTTTATAATCAATATATCTGATAAAAATTTATTAATTTAGATTAAATATTTATTTATAAAATAAAAAAATTAATCATTTGAATATAATATATTTTTTTATAAAATTTTTTATTTTCTATAATATATTCAATTAATTATTTTTTTAATAAAAAATTAACTTCAAAAAATAAAAAACTTCATTTTATAAAAATTATAACTATCATGAAATTATTATTTTAAATTTTAATATATTTTTTAAAAATAAAAAAATATTAATTTTAAATATTCTCAAAAAAATAAAAAATATATAAATTTTTAATTGAAAACTTAGAAAAAAATAAGAATTATTAATTTTATCTAAATTGATTTTTACTATATAATTATTTATTATAAAAATAAAATTATTTTAAAATAAATATATTTAGAATTTTGAAATTAAAATATTTAAATATTCAATAACAAAAAATAAATATTACATATTGAATTTTTTTTTTTACTTTAAAAAAGTAAAAATATAGATATATAAATAATATTTATATATAT